AGCATGGTGATAACTTACTGTACTACTTTCATAAAGTTGTACACTGTTACACTTGTAACAGGCTAGTACTAAACACAATAGGGTCAGCAGGTTCATTGTCCATCCCGAGACCAGCATGATGTCCACCTGTCCTTACAGTTTAAGGTTACTGTGACCTAAGAAGTAACCTGGCACGCTCTGTCCGCAGAAACGTATTGAGTGTGAAGTGGGCAGATGTCCACTCACAACAAGTGACCATATGGAATAAGCTGCTTCTCTTGGGCTCTGTTTAAAGGCTAACTTTAGTGAAGAGTTGTTAATGGACTGGACAGTCAGCGTCAGATGACCGCCCTGTGGTGTGCATGGACATTCTCTGGTCTTAAAGAGAAAATATGATCATTTGCTTTTCCACAACCTGCCTAGAAGCAGCATTTTAAGTTATCGTGGCTGTCCAGAAGGATTTGTTTATGATACCTAATTTTGGCCAGATTTTAAGCCAGTGTATATATATCTTTCATAGAGATTGCTTTGTGACTAGTAAAAAATCACTCCAAGATGGTGGATAAAGTAAAATAAATTTGATTACAATCAGTACTGTATTGTTTTGAATTTAGTTAAAATTAGATTTTTTTAGCTTGTCCTTTCCATTTAGTTTCATTTTTGTTTTTCTTCAGTGTTTTTTAATTAGTTTTAGTTTTTAATTTGAGTATTTCTGTGCTGTGTAATGATAATTAAAGGTGCAGTGTGTGACTTTTAGCGACATCTAGCGATTCGGTTGCGAGTTTACACTAAGGGCTCAGCCCACCGCTCACCCCTCCCTTTCGAAGAAGCTACGGTGGCTAAAACGGGACAAACATCGTCGTCTGAGACAGCAGAGAATAGCCAGAGTAAGCCAAGTTTCTGTACCACAGTCCATTATAAACCACATCATGGATAAAGTTTTCAGGTGAGGATCAAGGGTCTTAATACATAATATAATAATAGTAATCAGCTGATTGTCTCACAAATGTAACCCGCACAGTCTCCCCACATAGCAAACCCATAATACAGCGAGGGAGAAGAACCACATGAAACTATGCAACTATATATTTTTTCTAACAGGGTAGTAAAAGTTTAGCTGGCTAATATGAGCTGTTACTGTGGCTGAGCTGGTTAAAGCGTTAAGCCTTGTTTAAACTTGACGTGTCCGCATGAGCCCAAAGGTGCGTGCGGCAAAAATGACGTGATTGTAACAGCGCGCGCGCCTCCACATCCCCTAGACACCACTTACTACACACAATAGGCTTTTTTCTCTGATTTTGGAAACTCGATCGACTTAAAATGCTTCCAAGATCGACGGGTTGGTGATTCCTGTAACTATTTTACGGTCAATGACAAGAGTAGCCTACTAATCAGCGGTCTCACGAACTTAACCAGCACATTTATCCCCACATAGCAAAGCCATAACACAGCGAGGGAGAAGAACTAAGTTACATGAAACAACTACTTATTTACACCACTGACAAGGGAAAAGTCACTACTCACGGTGTTTATGACTAGCTTCTTCTAGCTTCCTGCGGCTTCTCTTTCAAGGTAGTGACGAAACGCGCTCTGTAACGCTGTTTGTTCGCTCTCGGCTACGGTAGAAACATGACGTCACAATATGGCGACCTTCATAGAAGGGGATTCCCGCACCTATGTAGATTTAAATGCCTCATTCTAAGGTAATAAAAACATTACGGTTTATTAAGTAAGTTCTTTATACACCACTGAACATTATGGATGTCATATTGCATTTCTGTTAATAGATACTCAAAAATGTTACACATTGCACCTTTAAATAACATCATTAGATTTCCCAGGGCTGTCTGGTGCATATATTTCAATGAACATCCATCCATCCATCCATGCGTGCTCCCGAGAGTCTCTCTTCCGTTCAATGACAGATGAAACGAATGTTTATATAGCCTACACCGTTCAATATAATGCTGAAAGAGCTATTCTGTACTGTAATGTCACGTGTCATGAAAAAGGGGATTCATTCAAACTCTCACATAGCCAGAGGTGTACTTCATAATCAAACTATCAACAGTGTACACTCTAAACAATGCTGGGTTGTTTTAACCCAAATTTGGGTCAAATGGACAAACCCAAATGTTGGGTTAAAAATGTAATTTAAAATGTTAACCCAACTTCAACTTTCACTTTCAACTGTAAATTTTTTAATTACATTTTTAACCCAACATTTGGGTTTGTCCATATTTGACCCAAATTTGGGTTGAAACAACCCAGCATTTTTTAGAGTGTAATTTTAATTACCTCATCTGTCGACATGATGCCAGTGAATCGCAGTGCTGCTGCGAACATATCCACATCGCTATGATCAGATGCTTTCTTAACTGCTGCTTTCTCGCTGCTGTCGTTTTTGTTGCGCGTTTATTTTATTGTTGAGAGGAAAAGCGCGCAGCACATATTTTCATCTAAACGTCACTCTCAGCAGCGTGGACAGCATCGGGATGTTCGTTAAAATATATATAGCTGCAAAGTTATTTCCAACTTTGCTTTACTTCTAAGCAAAATACTAAAAAGAACTTCACTGTGAGTATATCACGGCATTGAATCATGTTCAGTCTCGAACACAATAAGTTGCTGGCTGCAGTTCACTTAACGGCCACCAGTGGTGCTAATAACACGGGTTTCTGAATTCTACATAGAATTAATTTTAAAAATGAAATGTGGGTGAAATAGATTGGGCATGTACTACTGCTGTAGATGTTGCCGTCCAAAAGCAGTTTGCCTTCAAGGAGTATTCTTGTGGGTTCAATGATCAAATCCAGTTTAACAACATGGGTCTGTAAAACTGATCCCATGCTGTGTGTTGTGGTTGCACATGTGTGTTTACCAAAGCCTCAACCTAGCAACCTGCACCTACCACCCACCATTCCTGCGGTAGGTTTATTACTGTGTCCTCTGCTTGATTCCCAGTGCTGTTTTAATGATCTGAAATGAGTATAATGAGAATCCAAGTCCAACACGTCAACATTGGTGCAAAAATATCTGTTTGTTTAACCAATGGAAAATGAAGGGAGGGTTTGGTGGTGCAGTAATCATAAAATGTGGCTCTTTTGCACCTGTTGAGATTTTTTGCAGAGCATTGAAAATGGGTGATATCTCAAATTCATAAGAAAACATTGGCTGACACATATCTGTTCGGTAGTAGTTGATTCAGTTTTCCAGATCCGTGCTGGACTGGCATCATCTCCAGTTTTGCACATTCAACATAGTTTTGGAGTCAGTGGACAGTGATTCTCTGAGGAAACAATGCATCAGTGCCAGGCTTCAGAGAGGCAATGGTTTCACTCGTCCCCACAGGGATTATTGGGTTCAATCTGTAGACACTCAAAACTGCTGCTCCAACAGAATTTCATCCTCCCAAAGCCTCGGCTCGGGCTGCGTGAATAACCAAACACTCCCTCTCTCAGCATGCTGTTAGAAACGCAACCGGGCATGGGAATTCAGCGACTGCCGAAAAACAGGGCGAATGAGACTTAACATTTCAATCATGGTAAAACCGCATACAAAATTTTAACTGCAAGTAACTGCACAGTTTTGGTCATTTACTGATTTTAATCATGCCTAAATAGATGTTTTTGGCAGTGGGTAAATTGCTTTGTTGAGATGACAACAAGAACAAACAATTCTCCTTACCATTTTGCCTCAATTAGTTGTACTTGTAGTTGGTTATGATCACACAGCCAGATTGTTAAAAAGTATCCATTTGGATTTTCTTGGAACAGAATTAGACTGAGAGGGGTTTTCAAATTAGGGTCGCAAGAAAAGTTTAGAGATACATTTCTATAATAATAATAATTTGAATTATTATTCTAATAATAATTTATATATATATATACATTTTAAATATATAAACATTTTAATTTTATTTAAATATTAGAATATATATATTGTAATAATTCTAATTATTTGTTTATTAATTATTTTATAATTATAAGTTATATTTATTTAAATTTAATTTAAATATTAGAAGAAAAAAATGTATATATTATAATAATTATTTAATAATATAATAATGTTTTTTACACTTTAAAAATTATGCTTTGGAAATCATGACATTAATCACAATTATTTGAATTTGTTGATAACTCTAGCTTTATTTCTCTTCAAGTTTATACATATAACAGTACTTTAGTTGTGGGTAGAAAAAGATACATTGTCAAATCAATATTTTTCCATATAATATTTTTTGTATTTTCCAAATTTATAACATTTTTTATTTCCCCACAGTATAAATGGGTCTTTATACTTTCTAAAAAAAATATGCAGCTGTCTTTAATATTTTAGGGTTTGTTGCATCAAAAAGTTTTAAAAGCTATAAACTAAAGCAAACTTTTCTTCTTTGCTTGCTAATTGTCTGTTTCTCAGGTGCATTGGTGAGAAGGGTGATATTATGGCTGATTAGGCTGTCACCCAGGGGTGTTAGCGTTGAGTTTTCCCATAAGACACATCTGCTGTCTTGCTAATGGCTTGTTAATCCTTCTCAAGCTTGAGACTCATGCCTTGCTGCCACTGCATCTGGGGGCTGGTTACACTTCCATGTGCAAACTGTAGGTTTCTTCTGCTCTGACAACAAATTGCATCCTGCCTGCTTCCCACTTATCTGTGATTTGTGCCTGCCAGAGAGTGTCCGCTTCTCTGGGCTATATTGGGCGACTCCTCGCTGCCGTGGGACTGGTAGCAGGTGGCGGGCGGAGTCCAGATCCCAAGTCGAATATGGAGTAGAGCTTCATTGGACAAGAAGAACACTGAAGATACTGATGACGGGGAAGGATTTGGCTGATTGTCATGGGAAAATCACATTATTAGAAGGTTTAGCAAGACGTCTGTGTGCTGCCAAGCTTTCCAGTGCTGCATGAATGTGAGTTTGTGGACACACTTCCCACTGCATTGCTCCAGCTGTTAAGTCAGCGTGTGCGGTTGCTCCGAGCCTTGTGCCTCTGCAACCAGACAACTTTGTGCCAGCGTGTGCGTGGTTGAATGTAAAAGGATAAGAAGATGCCTGCTATTCTAGTCGCGTCCAAGATGAAGTCGGGATTGCCCAAACCTGTGCATGCTACCGCGCTACCAATTCCAGCTAGGGTAGCAGCCCAACAGAATGGACCACTGAAGCCCACGCAGCCCAGCCTCATCCCCTTGAAGTCTCCCATCTACAGACAGCAAAGTCAAGGCACTGCAACTTTACAGAAAAAGTACCAGAATGCCAAAGACACATCAGGAGACCCTCAGGTTGGAACACTGATGCTTAATTTGTATGTGGCTTTGTGGTTGCATTCATGTTCTAACAGATGATCGTCCTTGTATGGATAGTTTGATTCCACACAGACAGTTTTATACTTTGATTGAATAAATAAAAAATGAATTAATAATTTGTGCATTGACCACTTGATCAGTTATCTTTATAGTACTATTGATCGTCTTCATCGACCTCATCAAAAATATCAGGCTACAACAGGTATTTTTTTGTAATTGTGCAAATTATTACTTTGTTTCTTGCAATGCAAGCTGATATATCACAATTACGACTTTGTTTCTCGTAATGGCAACTTTATATCTCACAATTGCAACTTTGTTTCTCATACTTATGAGTTGCGACTATCTTGTAATGTGAATTTTCAAGTAATAGCGACTATATTTTTACAATATGACGTTATATCGCAGTTACGACTTTATAATGGCTACTTTAAAATTACAAATTTCTTGTAACTTTTTATCTAACATTTGTTTTTTATACTTGCGACTATATTGTATCGTTACTAGTTTCTCGTAATTGCAACTTTATATCTCACAATTAAAACGTTGTTTCTTGTAATTGTCACAGTATATCTCAAAACTACAACTTTCTTGTAACTTTTTATCTCATAATTGGGACTGTTTCTTATATATTTGCAACTTTATGTCTTGCAATGTGACTTTATATCTCAATTACAACTTTGTTTCTTGTAATTGCTACTATATATCTTAAAACTATTACTTTCTTGTAACTTTTTATCTCATAATTGGGACTGTTTCTTATATTTGCAACTTTATATCTTGCAATGTGACTATATCTCACAATTGACACTTTATATCTCACAATTACAACTTTGTTTCTTGTCATTGCTCCTTTATATCTCAAAACTACAATTTTCTTGTAACTGTTTATCTCATAATGGGGATTATTTATTATATTTGCAACTTTATGCCTCACAATGTGACTTTGTCTCACAACTATGACTTTGTTTCTTGTAATTGCTACTTTAGATTTGACATTTGCGACTGTTTCTCATACTTGCGATTTGTTTATATCTAGTTATGACTTAATATCTCGCAACAAAACAACTTTCTTATAATTGCAACTTTATGTCTTACAATTGTGATTTTAAAGCTGCAGTCCGGCGTTTTTCCTCTTTGTCGCCATCTCTGTTCGAAATCTGCAATCGCAGTCATTCACGGAATTATCAACTTTACGTGAGTTGTAGTTCAACACCCTCAAAACGGCACAGCGCGGATGAACACAATGTTTGAGGAGACTGTGAGGCTGACAGTCACCGTGCCGGTGTGGATACTGTCATTCAGAATCACAGATTATTCTTTTTGGAAGTATGACCAACATAAGAATTTTCACCGGAAAATGTAGTCTGAAGTAGTAAGAAACATCCACCTTTGTTCTGGTTCTGACATTGCAGTAAATCGCGCTGATTAAATCTAACAATCGCTTATAAGTTATCATATCACGTGAAACCGTGCAAATTATACTTTGTTCTCAACTTGTTAATGTTAACAACGTCAGCATTGCGTGACTACATGTAATGTCCTTCCGATATGTATCCTTGTTTTCGCATGGGCCGGTTGCAGTCTCTTCTTTCTGTAGCCACTCCGAAGTCCGAACGAAGTCTTTTGCATTTTACAGCGGGTGAATCTCTAGTTGTCACTGGTGATTGTCGTTTGAACCTTTCTGGATCCGCCATCAAATTGATAAGTTTAATTATATCAAGTGCTGTAAGAAAAGGCAATAAATCTCCACCTCCAGCATCCTCACACTCATAGCCTACTAGCCGAAACTCCTTCTTTATGTGTACAGTTGTGACGTAATGACGCAAAGACATGCTCGAATCTCCCGCGGAAATCCACCAGTACCACTGGAATTAAAAACATTATTACAAGCTTACCGCTTTGAATCGAGCTACGGCAAGCAGATCGTGTTGAACACTGGCTGGTTATGTATTTTATCAAATATGTATTTTGGATCATTTTTAACCCAAAAAAAGCTACGGACTGCAGCTTTAAATCTCTTTCACGGTATGACTTTACATCTCACAATGACGTTTTGTTTCTTGTAATTGTAACTTTATATCTCACAATATAACTTTTATAAAATAACTCTATGATGGAAACAGGCTTGCTTGCAAGGTGTTAATTGTGTTTTTGGAATATTAATGAACATTTATTTGTAACTGCAAAATGCTTTGGGTTGTCATGTTGAAGTTCAAACTTTGCAGAGTAAAACTTGTGCCTATATTCCACCATGACTTGACCTACAACAGCTGTGTACATTGTATCCATGTCTTCGAAACAGTTTCTCTTTGGCCACATTACCACCATTGTAATTACTGTTTGTAGAGCTTCCCGCTGAAAGCTCATGTGTTTATACATTTACATGTTAAAAATATTATGCTTTGTAAGAATAGATCCTGCTGACCTGGTCAAAGCAAATTGCCTATGAAAAGTCGCAATGTTCTTCTTTTGGTCCACGGCAGCGGTGTGTAAGTTTATGTCTATGAGTGTATGCGTACATGTGTTTATATAGCTTCATACGTTCAGTCGAGCTTTGAAGGCAGCGAAGAGCCAAGTTCTTCATGTGGCGGGGTAGAATGAAAAGCTTAGCCAGTTGGCCTGTAATTACAGCGCACACGCACACATAGACACGGTCATGGAGGTTTTACTACAGTGCTCCATTAGTGGCGGTGAGCCGCACTGCAGGTGGGCATTTGGCCATATGGATGGGACGCCACACACACCAATCCCAGAGGCCAATAGTGGGCACCCTTTAGCAGACACTGGTACTAATATACTACTATGCCCCCACACACTGCACTGCTGTCCCTCTTTGTTTTGGCCAGGAAGCTGGAAAATGCTTCACATTAATGAAAATGGCACTAAATGTGTTTTGAGACAGCATTGGTGAGGATTAGTCACGGTTGGTTGGCTTGTAAAACAACGTGATGATTGCAGTTACTAGTTTGTAAAATATCTGCTTTTAGTCTTGTTTTTGGAAATGATGGAATTACCAAAAAAGACAAGGAATGGAAAGTCCATTACAAGTTTAGGGACCACTTTTTGCTCTCTAAATTGTCCTGCACAAATTGAATTGCTTGGGTTTTATTGAGCTGATCTTTAAAAACTCGATCTTGAACCTAAAATGGAGAAATCCAATGTGGCATGTTTGCTCTGTTTTACAAAAAGTGCTTTGGCGGTACTTGGTGATTCTGTCCAAATATCGTAGTTTACCATACTTTGATTCGGTATTCATATTTAAATGCGGTAGTGACATGGTACTCCAAGTCTGCTTCAAATGGTATTAGCATGGTAAAAGTCCAACAAAACCATGATAATACCATAGTGCTCCCTTTTTTTTTTTTTTTTTTTTGAGCTATCTTGTTTTTAGCAGCGCTGTAAAAAATTATTTTGTCAAATCAACTTAGATAATTAATCTGGTTTAGATAACATAATATTTTGAGTTTAAGGCAACCAGGTTACTTACTTTTTTAAGTTAAACCAACTTTTTTTTTACAGCGAGTGTTGTTATTGTAAACTAGCCTACTATTAAAATTCAGTTATTGAAATACAGCTTAAATAATAAAATATAAATATTAGATGAATATCTTCATCTTAAATGAATATAAAATGTATATGTAATATATAAAAATGTTGCCTTGGCTGAACTGATATAAGTTTCCTAAAACAAATACAAAATATATATTTTATATTAAAAAAAAAAACCCTGAAAATATAAAAGCTACATCAAAATTTAAATAAATCCTATAATAATATATAAATAATATTAAAACATCAATGTCGATTGACCATCACTACAGTTGGTTAATCTTGAATCTTAACCCTCATTTTTTTTGTTGAGAATGACTTGAGATGAGATTGATTAATGTAATGACGTTTAATAACAGTTCTCAGAAAAATCATTAACCAATATGTTTGTTATTAAAATGAATGTGGGGTCTTTTAGACCCCAAACAGAACATGATGGCTAAACGCTGATTTGGTCTATTGTAATTGCGTACGTAATGCATCTTCATGTTAACATGGAACCTGGTTACTCCTCTTCCCCTATGTTTTTATTATTCAAGATTATTATTCCCACATGCTGTCCACCGCAGCCTAGAGGTTTTGTTTACAGTGAAGGGGTGGAGCGGTTCTCCAGGCTCTGTGGGCAGAAATACAAACAACCCCCTGCAGAACTCACAAGGAGTCTCTGTATTAAAACCAGCAGTGGCTCCAGTTTAAATGGTCCATGCTTAGCTCTGATCTGCATGATGGGCAGTCACACCAGTTCTTATGTCCCATTTAGACCCATTTAGATATAACTAGACCAGCAACAAAACACCTACAGCCCTTCATTTCTGACCTCTAGGGGCCTATTGAGACTCTGCTGCCTCGCAGTGTTCACTTTTTGTAGTTGCATGATGATTAAGATAGAAAGGGACCATGAATGTTTGGAATTGCACCATAATACACATGCTAATTTTGCAATGTATAACACAGTATTCAAATATATTGTATGCATAAAATGTCAAATTCTTTCTGTATTATACAACCAGAACACATGACATACTGTATCACACAATGCAATGTGCCTAGCTTGTTACCATTTTTGAAAACGGTGAATGGTCTGGAAGCCATAACAACCTAACTTTTTTCAGACTGCTTCTTTTTTCCATTTATAATTTTGCGTTTTATTTAAATTATTTCTTTAAATATTTATTCACAAAACAACAACAAATGTTATAATATTTGACCAGACTGCCATTTTTTCATTAATAATTTGTGTAAATATATTTAAATATATATTTTTATATTTTGTAAAATATTTAACAATAACATTTTTCATAATTTTTCACCTCCGTTGTTTATATAAAATGTTTTAAAACATTTCTAAAATATTTATTCAAGTTAATACAATAAGAATTATTATTATAATTATTATTTACACATTGTAATCCAAATAATAATTGATAAAATAATCAAATATGTTTCTAAAGATAGTATGCTACTGTTTGAATTTCTTTTTTGTTTTAATGTTTCAAGTATAAATTTTTTTTTTTTAATTAGATGTATAACCTGATATTCCAGACTCTTTTGACAGCTTGCTTTTATTAATTTTCTTGGAAATTTCCCTGTCTACACTCTGATATTTAAATGGTAGCTGATCGGCCACAATGTGGCATTTGTCTTTCATCCATAAGCTCTAAACCCAGAGTTAGATGTTAAGTGCCTTTTCCTCATTCTGTCTCTCTCTATTTTTCTTTGGATGAATAGATTTATACAGATTGGGCCAACCACTACCTAGCCAAGTCCGGACACACACGCCTGATTAAAGACCTCCAACAGGATGTTGCCGATGGCGTTTTGTTGGCAGAAATCATTCAGGTTGTAGGTAAGATTAAAGATATAAAAAATCATTTTCCATACTTCAACAAACCCCTCTTCTTCCTTCAGAAAAAGTTAATACATAAAACCTACAATTTTGCTCCACCGTACCAGTAAATCTAACCATAATGAGTAGGTTCGAGGAGGAGAACTGGGAAAGAAATGGACACACAAGTATCAAGAAAACTCACCACCTTTGTTATTTTGAATGTGTTCTGAAGCTGTTTTATGAGATCAGTTTCTAAAAAGGGCCAATTTGTGGATGGTTTATGAGGCTACAAACTGTTTTGTGAACATTTTATTAAGCCAAAATGTAATAAACGTATGCAAGAGGAGGATACGCGTTCCTATTCTCATTCCTATTACAAATACAAAAGCCTGAAGACCACACCAAGTGGATGAAGTGTTCATAAACCAACTAGCAGGTATAAAATGGTGTTACTTTAATTCAGTGCCTCTGTTTTCTTTTTTCCATTCAGCAAATGAGAAGATTGCCGATATCAACGGATTCCCAGAGAGTCGCTCTCAAATGGTAAGACTCAAAATTTGTTTATCGTAATTTCTGTCCGGCGTGATAGGAAAAGACACAAACCACAATATGTCAAAGTCAAACTCTTAATCGAATGTCACTGTCACATGGTGGATCTGGTGAAGAAGTGATCAAAATATTGATTTTGAAGATATTGAAAATGAGAGTTTTGAGAATATGGTAGACAGGCCTCGACATTTAGGCCTTGTCTGCTTGTCCTTTGGACAAGTAAATCGCTCATTCACTTTTTTGGTGGTGTAAATATAGCTAATTTATTATTATCATTTATTTATACTTAACTTTATACTTTATTTATACTTAAATTTATATGTATTTTTTAACCTTATTAAATGTATGCATCATCTTTCATGTCAAATTCTTACATTTGTCAATAAATTCAGTTAGACACTATAGGGCCGTTAGCCTACCAATCAAATGAAATAATTTAAATTGCAAAATTACAACTGCAATAAATAATGTTATGAGATTAATAATGTAATTAAATGTTTGAATATACATATAAGACTACTTTTAAACATAAAACTAAACCGCCAAAAGGTGGCGGCAAGTGACCGTCTTAATGAGTGAGTCATTGAGTCATTCATTCAAACGATTCGTTCAAAACACTGAATCATTTAGGAACAAAACACCGCGCGAAAGTATTGCTTTCCTTTGGAACCATTTTCGTCTTTGAAATAAAACAAAACAGTCTATATTGTGTCTAAAACGTAAGTAGATAAACTAATTTTAACTACTTATTGAACTATAAAATCAATGTAACATTTGCAATCGTGTTAATATTCAGCAAAACAGCTCCCTTGGTCGTGTTATGTTACTTAACTATATCTATGTTCAGTTATATTAATATAACAACATTCTATGTTTCTTCTGTGTGCTGCTAACGTTATGGTCATTTGTTTTGATTTCTCCACGAAAGTCACAAGGCAGCGCGAGCCTCAACAGCACGCCTTTTGTTATCAGAAATACGTTAACTTGCACCATTATCAATCGCTGTTTAAGCTGAATGTAATAAAATCTGAATCATTCCATGCTTATTTTTTTGTCACTAAAGTTTTAAGCTACCTGACTGGTCGGGCAAGTAAAAATCTCTTCCACTTGCCCCTTCAATAAATCCACTTGTTCCTTTAATAAATCCGGACAGGTTAGCTTTAAGGGTTAGTTCATCCAAAAAGAAAATTATCCCATAATTCGTAGATTTTCCATTTAAGCCAAATATACATGATAAATGAGAGTGAGTATATGACAGAATTTCCATTTTTGGTTAAACTGTCCCTTTAAGAAACAACCTCAGGGATGACAATGGCAGGTCTTGTTGACCTTAAAATCCTGGTGTTAACCAGCATGCTGCAGTCTGTCGTCTCGCCAGTGGTCAGGATATACATTGTAATGTCACAGGAACACCGCAGGATGGACCCACATGGTTGTAAACCACAAAACTACCCTATTGAGCACCATCTGTTTGGTTATGTTTCCTGTACACCTGAGTGTGCAAACCGGCCGCGGTGGGGTCACATTTTCCGAGGGGGCAGCAAGCTCTTGATGTATGTCCGTGTTTCTCTCTCAAACAGATTGAGAACATTGATACCTGTCTGTGCTTCCTGGCTGCTAAAGGAGTGAATATTAAGGGACTTTGTGCCGAAGGTGAGCGGACTCTTAACTAATGCTCAATAATATTTAAAATAAGATGTCAACAAGATTCTTTTCTTTTTCTGCCAAACCACAGAGATCCGCAATGGCAATCTGAAAGCCATTTTAGGCCTTTTCTTCATTCTGTCACGCTTCAGGCAGCAGCAGCAGCAGACTTTGAAACAGACCTCCAGCAATGTTCAGATGCTCCAGAACAACAGGGCCCACCGATGCGCCAGTCCTGCCCTGCCTCCTCACACTTCTCCCTGGAGCTCTCCCTGTCCTTCTCCTATCCAGCAACACTACACCTCCTCCCCATGTGCACAGAAAACACACACAGACCTGCAGTCCAGGTATTATTTTCCATTCATCTACTGGATAGCTTCTTCATAGACAGACAACATATCAGCTGGATTGAAAGATCAGTAATCAATTTTTAATCTTTAAAGGGGTCATATAATGCCATTTTTGTACAAGCTAGTATGATTCTTTAGGGTCTAAACTAAAAGTTTGTAATATACTTTAATTAAAAATTCTCATTAGTATTGTAAGAAAACACTTATTTTACTTGGTCAAAAACAGCTCTGTTTTCAGCACGCCGTTTCAGTGCATATGACTTTAAATGATAATGAGCTTTGCTCACCCCGACTCATTGTTCTGTGTGTACACCGTTTGTAACACAATAACCATAACGCGTTGTTCAGTATAAACGTGGGATTATGAATTATATTGAGAACATCATACATAGAAAACATGCCGTAATGTACCCTAAGTGTAAACCTTAGACGCATTCATTGTGAAGCGTGCAGCTAGCGATTTGCAAAGATTAATATAAATATTAATATAAAGTTTAATAAAACGTTACACTCACTTCAGTTGTTCTAGAGGTTCAGCAGGAACACGAATAGCTGGTACCGATCCTTTTTTCATGAGCAGCTTCTTAGCAAAACCAGCTCATACTGATCCTCGTTTATAAAGCAGTCTGGTGAGAAATGATTCGCGCAAAGATTAATGCATTGACGTTGCTCGTGGGGAATATTCCCTTCGAAAACAAACTCAGCCACTGCGTCTTCAGCGGTTCGGATTTAGGAACATTAAAATGACTGCTGTGTTCCTTATTACACCCAAGAACAGAACACCACAATCGCTTAGACGCCATTCTGGTCATCAACAATGACCGCGCCGGTCCGCGCAGACTATGATTGACAGCTCGCTCAAGAGCGAGGGCGGGTCTGTGTTGAAACGATGCTGTCAATCAACAATCGTGGGAGGGGCTTCCAAGCGTGTGACGTCACAAAATCGAACGGCTCAATTTGAGGCAGGGGAAAACATATAAGGAGATTAAAACAAAAACACTGGATGGATTTTTATCATTTTATGATGGTTGTGTACAGACACTGCCAACACACATTTCAGTACAATCAACTTGTAAAAGTGCATGTACCATTATATGACCCCTTTAAATAATTTGGTTCGAGGAAATTTTATTATATATATATTATGCACACACACACACACACACACATATATATATACTGTATATACATTTTTTTTTTATTAGATTTTTATATATGTATGTATAATATATATATATATATAAAAAAAATATAATAAAACAAATATATATATATATATATATATATATATATATATATTGTAGGATAAGATTCTTGTCGCATTGGACTTGCTGTGACCATGATGCCAACATATTACATTTTCAGATGCTCTCATACTGCTCCTCTTTTTCTTCCTCCTCTAACTTTTTATGCCCTTAACATTTCCAATGATTAACCTTTCATTTATTATGTTAGTATTATTTATTTATATACTATTATAGTATTTATTATTAATATTTTGAGTGAGACTTTGGTTTTTATTTGAGTTTCTTTTTTCATTTTATTTGAAATAATTTTATGTGCTTTTGTCGTTTTTTATATATATTTTTTTTATATTTTTAATATTTATGTTTTCTGTTTCATTTGAATGTTTTAGTGTTAGTATGTAATTTTTATTTTTTATATATATTTTTTTAGAATTGTAGTAACTCAAGTTAAACTTATTTTATTTTAGTTAGTTGCTAAGGCAACATCTTTTATTTAAGATTTTTAAGTAAAAATTGTTTATCTAATATGAAATAATATGAAATAATAGTTATATTAGTAATATTAATAATTATTTCAACTTTATTTAAATTATCAAAACATTTTTAATCATTTAAGTTTTAGTTAACAATAACAACACTGGTTATTTCTCTAACTCTTCTATTCATCCCTTTTTCTTTCTCTTTTGTTTTTCTCTTGATCTTGAAGTCATCCATCAAAAGGCTCTGATCAGAAAAAAGCTGTGAGACTCTCAGTTGCTCAGAAAAAGAACACTAGGTCAGCTTTCCAGATTTCTATGTCCACTCTTGAAAACATCACAATGTGCCTGATCTACTTGTCCTCCTAGTAAATTACTTTAAATTACTTCACAACAGCACCATCTACTGATGATCTTGTGATTCTAAAAAAGCCTATCTTGTTTCCTCAGGGCCAAAAAACATGTGAATCCCCTTCAATAGTCATTTTGTTCTCGATCATATGATCAGATGTGGACTTTAATATTAAAGGTCACTGAGGTTTATTTATATAATTTGCACTCCAGTCCTGGGTCTTTGCAGCATAAATAGTTATTGTTTAAAGAGAAAGGTTGAGTTTGTTCTGACTGAACTCTTTGTCAGGCTTCAGAGCCCCTCTGTGAGGGCGGCTGGAACGGGCGCAGAGAGTAAACCTCGAACCTCAAACACCAACAGACGCAGCCAAAGCTTCAACCAATGTGACCGATTAAAGCCGCCAATCTCTGCCTACGCTCATGAAAGAGGTGAGTTAATCACATCCATTTACACAATCTTGAGAATGATTGTTATGTAAGCAGTCAGTGTTTCCGCTACATTCATTCTGCCGTGGCGGGCCGCCACACCTAAAATCATCCCGCCACGGCTGCAGCTTCTCGGTCCGATATTGTATGTGTTATTGTTAAGCCCCACTAAAGGCATACAAAACATTGTAAAGCACCATAAAGTTTCCGCACTATATTCCAAAACTTCTAAAGTCATTCAATAGCATCATGTGAGGTAAAAATGAATATTTAAGTCGTTAAGTTAAAGTTAATGGAAACTCGGTCATTCTCCATTCAGCATTCAAACAGCGCGTCGCGTTCGGTTACGACAGTAACACGACGACACTCTCTTCAAGATCAATGTTCCCATTATTATACTTTATTTGTAGATAAAGGTCTATAGTTTGCATACAATTACTTTATCTTGCTGGAGTTTATAGCGCTTTCTAAATCATATTCCTTTCTCCCGGGTGTCTGTTACAGCACTAGAGTAGAGAGCACTATGAATTGTTCTTCATGCCCACTGTAACTGAAATTTAAAACTGTTAAAAGAAAAGGCTCAATAAACTGTTGCATATATATAATACATTAAGCATAGATAGATATAATCTCTTCGCTTTGTGCTTTGAACTTTTCAATGCGAAGCGCTGCGCGCTGTGACTTCGCGTTGCTTCAAGTGCATCATTCTGCGCACGGGATGCGCATAATCGCTTGCCGCTCTGGTTGGGGCCTTTCATATTGGGGAGGTTTAAACACCTGGGGTAAGGGGGCGTGGCCAATGGGAATATCACTCATGGGCCACGCCCCCTCCCCCTGGCGAAATGGGCCTGCCACCACGGCTGGAAAAAATCCTAGAGGAAACACTGAGCAGTCATTTAGTAAAAACTGTGTTATTGTTAAATCATCCTGAAAAAACCCCCAAGGTGTCTTGCTCAGTGCACAGTGAATAACTCTTTGAGGTATTCGAACCTATAACCTTTCACCCAGATCTTTAACCACAAGGCCACACCACCCATAGAGTCGGCAGGCTTTATTTCAGTATTATTTTTTACTAGAATTACCTGTGAATTTTTTTTTATAGATTTATCTTACTTTTCCTTGCTCAAATTGGTATTGGTATTATTGGTCAAAAAACTTTTTTTTTTTTTATTATATAAATATATTATTAAAAAACTATATTATTATTATTTTCAAAAACTAAAACTGGTATTTTTAATACGTAAATATAATTTGAAAAAAAAAAAATGTGATCATCATATAAAGCGATTGTGTCTCTTCAGTAAATTTGGACTAAACCGCTCCATTCATATAGATTAGTTTATGAACTTTTTGAAGCGACAAAGTGGAAGTTGCGTGGACTGTCAATTGAGGGACAGAAATAACTCAGATTTCATTAAAAATAACTTCATTTGTGTTTCGAAGATGAACGGAAGTCTTACGGGTTTGTAACGACACAAGGGTGAATAAATGATGACAGAATTTACATTTTATGTGAACTAACCCTTTAAGCTCTGAGAAAAAAACAAACATTTTAAGTGGATAATGAAGAGAATTAAGGTCTGTTCCTCATGCTAAGTTATCGTAATGCTTAAAAAGGCTGGGAAAAAGCGCACAAGTAAATGGACTTGTACTTCACGGTACTTTTATGGTAATTTATGGGTCTTTTGACCATAAAGACAACTTTATAGTTTTTTGATCCAGCTGTTTTTGGACATGAATTGTCACTTCAAGTTCTACAAAATATTTTGAACCAAATTTTTCACGATGAGTGATCCAAACCATCCTCCCTTGATTTGTTTAAAGTTAGGTAACTGCTCATGTTGTTCACATTTTTATGATTCTTTAATTTCATGTTGTTGACACATTTTTGGCACACTGTTGTTACATTATGGCGGGCTTGGTTTACACACTTCAGCATTTAGTTATTTAGCGTGGATGTTTCCCCACTAACATGTCACATAGTTGAATATGTGGAATTTTTGTATTCAAGACATATTCATAAAACCGTATAAAAAGTATTTTTTCCCGTTTGCACATGCATGATGTACATGTTTGTGTGCATGCATGCATCTGTGTTTGTGTGTGGCAAGTGTGGACTCTCAGCTGCACACTGCTGGATCTGGTATGTTGATGATGAGGCGTTTGCTGCTCACTGATTCAGCTCTATTTAGTGTACTTGTGGCAAAACCAGCGCAGAGAAAGAGAGAGAGAAAAGTCAATGATAATGACAGAGCTTTATATACAGTGAGATCAAACGGCTAGGAAGACATGCGAGGAATATGACTGTTATGTGAATTTTGCTCAGATTGCCTGTAAGGTAAGCACCGCTAAACTGAGTTTTTATGCAACAGGCTAGTAAATTATTGAATAATTAAATAATGCATACATGGGCAACCACCAGTTTAGCAGTGCAGGAAAATAAAATCAGGGAAAGACAGTGACTGATCAGAACAGGTCAAATGAAACGTTTAACATTTTTACTTAGTCTTTGCAAGAGTTTGGTTTCATTACATACTGAATTTTCATGCAATTCAGGCTAATTATATATGCTATTAAATAATATATTATGTATTGTATGTAATAATAATACAAAATATTTTGTCCCTTTTTTTTTTCTTTTTTTTTTTACATTAGTATTATGACAGAAAGCACATAAAAAATGTGCCTTGGAAATGGTTTGTTTTTATATTTAACCAAATAATCAGTTTCTTCACTCATATCTCAAATGTCATGAAATGCTCCACAGTCACTCTCCTTTACTAACCCTCAATAGTAATACATTACTTCACATACTTTAAATATTTATCTTCATAGTTCATGCTTTCTTTTCTCAGCATCCAATACGCTCTCATATTTTCAAAATCCCACGGGTGTCACTCTTGCTAATGTCTATGTGCAACAGCTTGACTGCACTTGCTAGTGTTTGAAAGATTTGACCCACTTTCTCTGTGCCAGATTGACCATTTGTCCTCCCTACCTGTCCAATTGCCTGTTACAGTAGTTGAATGTACAAAAAGTGACACCAAGCAATGCATTAAATAAATGTTTATATATAAATGTTATATTTCCTCGTGAATTTACAGAGAAAACAACCTCATCACCAATAATGGTTGATCATGGACCAATCAGCTCTTCCATTCCTCCACCCAGCTGCACCAGCACCACAACTTCCACCTCTAAACCCTGGAGAAGCAAGTCGCTCAGCGCTAAACACACTGCTACATCCTCCATGGTCACGGTTAAACAACCAGCTCCAGATTCTCTCGAGGTTCCTCCTAAGGTGATTGCCCAGAAGTCCATGCTGGAAAAGCTCAAGCTCTTCAACAGCAAAACGGGTTCCAGAGCCTCCAAGGTTGTCAGTACAGACGATGTGGATGATGTTGAACCAGAAGGCGGCCAGATTTGCCCCATCCACCCTGGAAACCAATGGCCTGTCACCCCCAGCAGTTCTGGCAGCTCAAGTCCTAAGCTAGCTCTGAAAGGCTTTGCACAGTTGACGCTTGGAAAATCTTTGGCGCCGAAAACAACCTCGGCAAAAGCGTCTGAAAACCTTAAAGAGAAGTCAAAGCCTAAAGAGAAAGAAAAGCTCAAACAGCTGCCTGTTACAGAACCCAAACACCTTAAAGGAGACACAAAAACTGACGGACTTGTTGTACTAGAGTCTAAGAAGGCTGTTCCCAAAGGAAACAAAGTAAAAAAAGACAATGCAAAATCAGCCATGAGTGGAATTCCCAAACCAAGCCAAGGAGGAAAGGGTTCAGCTGCAAATAAGACTGTAGCGTCGCCCCCTTGTGGTGCGGAGGCAGAGCGGTTACGGACCACGAAGATAGGAGGTCTGTCTGTGCATAAAGGGCAGAAAGATGACAGAAACTATAGCTTTACATCTAGCTTAGCATTTTCAGATGGGAAAAGTTGCCAAGATCTCACCCTTGGTGCGCAGACCCACTCAACAACCAGCAATATGGTCAGTGTGCAACTTCCACAGCTCCAGCAACAATACAGCCATCCCAACATGGCCACTGTCGCCCCATTCATGTACAGGTAACGGAACACCTTTGTGGGGCTTTTAATGCGTTATCCTACATACTCCATTAGACTCTATTTGGCTCTAAACTAGTATGTTGTCCTGTCACTATGTAGGTCTCAAACTGAAATTGATAGGACTGGGCTAGTGACAGGAGTGGAGGAAAGGAGGGTACGAACAGGCCTGTGCAGCAAATCAATCCATACTTCTCTTGAGAACCTGACAGGTAAGCATTATGAGCATAAGGAGAGTGAGTACAGAAAAATAAACTTGAGTTGCAAATAGCAGTGTTGGGCAAGCTACTTTGAAACTGTAATTGAAAATAATATAACTAGTCACAGCCATGAGTGAGTTCTTTAATCATTGTAGTGATTCACGGTAAATCATTTTAGTGAATTGCACCATTATGCATTTATCAGAATTATAGCAAATCATTTTAGTCACTCGTAGCAAATCTTTTTGGTGATTTCATAGCCCTTCATAACAAATAATTGGAATGTTTCATAGTGAATAATTTTAGTGTTTCATAGTGAATAATTTTAGCAAATGATTTGAATAATTTAACAGTTCTCTTAAATGAATCAGACATTGCAATTTAGACTAGCATGTTTGTTCAGCTTGCTCAGGAAACCATGTGAGGTAAAAACAATTCTGTTGTTTTACCATGTTACAAGGCTGAATGTTGGACTATTGTTTGTTACTGGGAAAAACTGTTTCAAAACAGTCTAATATCACTCTACTAAACATTTTAGTAGTGTTGCCACTTTTGGATAGTTACTCCCCAACTCTAATGCCTGGTTAGGACAAGGTCACTTACTGTGTCTTTGTATAAAACAACACTGATTATTTAAGAATAAGTGAGCAGTGTTTTCCGAACTTTGAGGCCAATGTCAGGCCAGTCTGAGAGTGAACAAGAAAACAAAACAGCACTCATCTGCATGCAAAAGGCTATGAATGTCAAGGAGTTGCCAAGGCCTACCAGCATGTGTGTGTGTGTGTGTGTGTGTGTGCTTTCTCAGTCTGTCAGAACTTTGTGTAGAGAGAAAAACTCTTCTCCACAGGGGAAGTTCCCTGGGCTGGTGTGGACATGAGAGCTGTATTATAATTTCCCCTCTCTTTCCCATGGAGGAAAGGAAAAGGCAGGACCGCCGTCACAAGAGCTTCTTTCACGAATCAATCGGGACATTCTCTAGGAAAACAACTCCGAATGTGTCAGACAGACCTTTTATCCATCTTAATAGACGCGTAGGAGAGTCAGGGACACGTTGCCACCAGAAAAAGCACAGGACATTAGTAGCTCTGTGAAGTCTTTTTCTGCAACCGAGACAAAGATCTGTACCACCGGAAGAAGACCTAAATGAATCTTCTTCTCAATGGACCAAGCAGAATGTCATTGTCTGTTGGCATCTCCTCTCCGAACTGAAGGAACAAGAGATGGTTCTTATGAGGACATCTTAGACTTAGACGACTGCTCTAGTCTCAGGAGAAAGGACAGGTTCTGGGGTGTAGACCGTTCTGGTGGACCTCCAACATCATCTAAATGTTTGCCTGAACACACTCAACCAAGTGTTTTGAATGAAAGGGAGCTCAACACGTTCAGCTCTGTATATCAGCTGCATTTGAGCCAACACTCTTGTGTGTGGGATGGAATTGCTCGGGTTAATGAGGAGATCCTTCTAACCATGTTGGACATGTTTGAGAAGCATGAAAGTGAGTAGATGAGTGTTGGATGACTTGATCTGTTTTAAAAAGCTACCTAGGAGGCATTTAACACACCTGAAGTCTTGATTATCCATTTTTGGGGGCTTTTTTTGTCACTTTTTATTCGATAAAGACAGTAACGAGAGGAGAAATGGACCTGCGACTTTTATATTAGCATGTGTACTAACTGTTAAGACACATCTCTTTTTTTCTTGGAAGTCTGCCATTGTTGGCTTGAAAGAGAAAACTGACTGTACAAGAGGATGTTTTCGCATAGTGCCCCTTTTGGCAATTATAATCATGTAGCGTTAACTGCTTGGCTACAGCAAATGTTTTTTTTATTGTTTTAGTTTTAGATAATGACCCTGCTTAGCAGAAATCTGCCATGACAGCAGTTGACTTGAAAAACTGAATATAGACGTTTACGCTAATTTACGCTAGCGCCCCTTGCATTGAAAATCCAATGCATAGCCTACTTGCATTGCATTCTAAACTTTCATCCCATCAAATATCTTTGCAAATAAAGCCAAACTAAATGCTGTTCTAAATTAAATTTTCTATAATTGATGTAGTTTGAGAGGAAGCTAGTTTTTTTTAACCAAAAGGCGGGTAGAGAACAAAGATTTAGCATTAGCCTCAGCGAGCAGTTCTGAAAGAGGTTGTTTGTGGTTTTTACAGCCTCTAGGAATGTACTTTTCCACGGCACTCATTCTTTTACACGTTTTACATCATGTGTGAGTGTTTGTGTGTGTGTGAGTCTGCTCTGTACCTTCTGAGCCCCTTGTGGACCTCTTATGATCAGTAAACAGCCGTTAATCCAAGCAGCCAAATCCCCTCTCACCTACGGCATACACTGCGTGTTTATTTTTAAGCAGCGGTTGGCTAACGTTTCGTACGTTAACATTGGTGCAAGAAAACAAAAAGCTCTTTTACGGAACGCTAGGAGATTTAACTTCATGAGCAAAAGGGGCAGAGTTAGTGCTGTGATGCTAATACAGAGTTCGGAGTTGCTTCATTTACATTATCCCATGATTCTCCGGGTTTTGGCTGCATTTCTGAAGCATTTTAGGTGTGTGAATGTGTGTGTGTGTTCAGACATGCTTTAGAGTTATGGTAGCAGCTGTTTGCAGACTGTGGTGATGGTGATGAGTCTGGTTTCCTCAGGTGAGGACTCCGAAACCAAGAGGCTACGTACTGCGAAAAACATTGCTGATCTGAGGCAAAACCTTGAGGAAACCATGTCCAGTTTGAGGGGGACGACACATATCAGTCACAGGTAAAAACCAGTGTGATGTGTTTTATTTTTTCTCATATTTCGTGTATGTTTCAGCCTGATAGAAGTGACTAAAGTTTGTTTAATTCATCTAAAATATTACTTATCTTAAAGAAAAGTTCTGGGACTTGTTCCTCATTTTCCTTAAAAAAAGCAAAGGATTACAGTGAAGCACTTACAATTGAAGCGAATGGGGCCAAGCCGTAAACGTAAAAGTGCTTTTATAGAATTATAAGCTTCAAATGTTTTCTTTTAAATCATTAATTTAAAAATAAGCCCCATTCACTTCAATTGTCTATAAATGTCGAAATTATTTTGATCAACCCAACGATGATCTGGCGAACTGGTGATCAACCCAAAGGGCTCCCGCTAGTGGTAGTTACTTCTTACTGCACTTTCTCTGGTGTCAGTTCATGTTCAGACTCTAAATGACTTCTATTCAGTAGGGTTGAAGTACAACATGACATTAATAATGACTGGGCATAGAGATCACAGCACAGTTCAGAAAGCACCCCATTGTTCCCGGGTGTGTGAACCCTTTTATCTCTGGGGGTTTGTGGGGTTAAACTCTAAATGGCTTTGAGGAAGACATTTTGATTGGCGTTAGGAGCTCATTTGGGGGGTGCCGGGTTTTTGTCTTTGCCGTGATCAGTTTGATACGCGTCTCGGCCTTCCAGGGTACAAAAGCTGGCCATGAAATCGTCTGGAGGCCACATACTGCCTGCTAATACTAGATAAAAAGCTTGTTTTAATATCCCAATGAAACCCTGTCCCGACAGGATGCATAATTTTGCCAAAAATTCAACAATGCTTTTTGCTTGCTGCTTGCATTCTTTCTTTCAAAAAGGTATATTTACCCCAAAAAAATGTCATTCCAAACCCATATTATTTGTGAAACAAAAAAGGATTTTTTTTTTGAAGATATTTTGCAGAATGTCTATGCTGAAATATAGTGTCAGACGTGGCTTGAATTGTTGTTAGTTAACTAAAACTACAAGAATTAAAAATAATTTTTGTTAATTGAAATCAAGCTGAAAAAAAAATTTGAGTAAAGAATATTTAAAAAAAAAATATTGACAACTTACTAACTAAAATCAATATAAATTAAAAATAAATAGATATATAAAAAAAATATAAAAAAAGTGACAAAAGCACATAACAGAATTACTCAAATGAAAACTGAAACCATAAAAATAAAAGCCTATATAAAATATTAGTAAATACTATAATGGCATAAATAATACTAAAATAACACTTTTTTTCATTGATGAAAAACTTCAGCGGTGATGTAACACTTTATCCAATAATAAGAAATGGTTTGACTCTAGTTTGTTTGCACATACAAAAATCTCAATTCATCAGGTGCCTGAAAAACCCTTTTTATCATGTAAACCTCTTCTTTGACACTTAAGATTTTTTAGGTTAAGAATAGGTGTTAAGCATTATGTAGTAGGTCTAACAAGTGTGCAAACAAAATCAATAAATAATATAAATATTCATAATTATTTATTGATTATTCGCTGATCATTGGTGTGTGTTTTGAACATCTTAAACTCATTTGTCACATGGTGATGTTACAACACTTTTTTTCAATATTAACAAAGTCAAGATGTTAACAAACCTGTCTTACTGCCTGCCAGCACTCTTGAGACCACCTTTGACAGCACAGTAACCACAGAGGTCAATGAGAGGGCCTTGCTTACCCTCAGTTCCCGCCCTGCTTCTGCATTGCCCTGGCGGCTGGGCTCATCCAGCCCTCGTCTACAAGCTGGTGATGCCCCCTCTTCAGGAAACACGTTCGTACACCACGGCAGTGGCTGTGAGCGGCACACACACAGACATCAGACCTGCACACACAACGGAGTCGTCTGCGGCCTTGAGCTCTCAGAGAAGGTGGAGGATCTGGAGGGCGTCGCCATGGAAACGGCAGGGTACATGAGTGATGGAGACGTCCTGGGCAAGAGCATGAGGGTGGATGGTGTTTCCAGTGGGTGAGTGTGGTTTGATGGTGTGTTTGCAAAAGTTTTCAAATGTTTCATCTGCATAACTATTGATAGATGATACATCAGCTTTAAAGGTAGGGTAGGCAATTATTTTATAAAAAAAATTGGTTGTAAAACTCTTTTCACATCCTGATAGCAATCAATATTAGAAGTGATCTAAAAACTAAAACATGTACATATATCTTCTGTGGAAGTCTCAGGACCAAAAAATGTTCGTCCAATCATTGCATTCGGTCCGATACAATGTCCTACCTTCCTGTCAATGTTTACATGTATATGTGTGTGTATATATACACATAAACAAAGACATCTTACAGGTAAGAATGCATCTCTTTGCATCTGCCTCTGGGTGGCGCTCTTTAGTTAGTGATTTTTGACTAGTTTATTTTGAGTTACTTTCAAACAAGAATATTATAATCAATCAATTTTCAATCAATCAACTTTTTTGAATATGCAAAAATTTGATGATGGCTACAAAAATGTGCAATTCATCCTTTTAACAAGTTAAAATGTCCGTTTAACGCTATATATCAAAAGATGCAGTGTTAGTGCAAGTGCGCAGTGGCTCGACGCGCCCTGCACTGAATTCCTGCTGTGTCCCATGAGCGGTTAGCCACAGCTTTTTAGCATGTAATCATGTAACGCCGATCCAGCTTTCTTTATTCACTTCACTCTTTCATTGTGCCGTTCCCTAGGAGCTCTGCCAGTTTTTGCCTGCATGCTCAAAGTCCCCGGTGCACTGGTGTGGTTTGTGGCAACATGCAAATTACAGTATGTTTAGATGGTGTTGTTTCTTGGCTCTTGGCTTTGTTTTGGATCATGCAATCACATCCCAAGCCCGCCTGCTTCTTTATGCAGGTTTGAGTAGCTACTGACATAAATGTGCATTAGAGCCCCACTGCTGTACGATAACATTTTAGAAGCCTCAATAGCTCTTTCACGTTAGCAGTTATTTTGTTCATATGTCTGTTATCAGCTGTTAATTTCGCAGTCCGTCAGTAGGACATGAAAACGCAACATGTAGCCTGTGGTAAGAGAACGGGAGTCAAGGGTCATGGGAAATATTCATGGTTGAATCCTGAGAGAGGGTGAATATATGAATATTTGGGGCACAAAGAGAAAGAGAGTACTTGAATTTACCTCACAGAGATGCATTTAGCTGACTTTTCATGGAAAAATGTGCAACCTTTTGACCCCATGGAAGAGATATGAGGTTAGATCCAAATTTGGAAATGCGACTAAATGCACAAACACACGTGCATGTCGTGCATAATCTTTCCCTAGTCCTGTTCAAACAGGAATCAGACAGACACCTTTTATTGGATTCTCATATTCCTTCTGCTCAGTGCTGAATTCCAGTAGAGTGATTCTGTCACCACAAGAAAATCTTTGTGAGACATTTGATCATAGTTGGAAAGCTTTTAAGCCCAATTACTGAGACCATATATGGATGGATTTTGAAACGCAGTCAACATTGGGTACTTACAGCAAATTCTGTTTCTAAAACCAGATGCTTTGCTTTGGATTAGTGTCTTTTTACTAGCTTATCTTAGTACCATCTTAGTTACATGTTCGAATAATCGGATGAGGATAACATAAAAGGCATTTAAACAATGTTTTGCGGGAGATTATGTAGGGATAGAATTGATTTTATCCACTGAGATTTGACTGAATTGTGGATGCTGTGATTTATATATTTTTATATACATTTTATGTGAACATTTACAGAATATTTTGTTAGAATTTGTAGGACAAGTACTGATTTTATCCATTGAGATTCATTGTTTTTACTTTATTAGTTTATTTTATTCTATTCTATTTTAATAACTTTTAACTAAGTAAAACTGAATATTTTGTAGAAAAACATAAAGGACTATTTTATTTTATTTTATGTTTTTCCTGCCGATTTTTATTTATCTTTCCGTGCCTATTCAGCCTTGGTTATGTCAACAGATACTATAGAGAGAAAGTTATTACATTTAGATGAAAGATAATATAAACAAACATTTTTGTTCTTTACAACAGGGGTTTTCAACTATAGCACCAGGTTATTATTTGATTATACATTGTCTATCTATCTATCTGTCAGTCTGTCGAGACTGCTGTTGAATGACTTGTAGCGGGTCACCAGGTCAGGGCAAATGAATAACTCTATGGGACAGAGTGTTTAACTAGTTGAAATAATCTTAAAAAGCCTCTGTTGCTCAGTAACTAAAGTTAAACAGAAGCCGTTGATCCCAAATGTGCCCAGTATTGCACCTGTCAAGGAGGTATATAATAGGAAATATTGTCCAGTTATAACATTTAAACACTATTCACAATCATAAATAACCTCTTCAAAAAGTATAATGCTAGTACAGTTCAGGCCAGGGATGGTTTCATATCGTGGTTCTTGTGATGTTGTATACCATAGTATTATTTATTTACCAAATTTATGTACCATGCCAAGACAATTGCCGCAGGCTACAGAGTAGACATACTGAAATAAAATTACTTTTAATCAGTTTAATCAATGTTAAATGGTCACATAAATCTACTAAACTGGTTTTGTCACAGTTTTGCTGTTTAATACAAAAAAGCCAATTTAATATTTTTGCAGTACTAGTTGCTAAATCTTTGCTAGATGCTTTGAAAATTATGATTGATCAACCACATGATTGTGAAATTCATATTTCCTGTCTTCTGATCTGAATCACACCTGATGATTCATTTATTATTTAATTATCAGTCTGAATTGAAAACCATAAATCAGTAGTGTGGCGTATGCTGTTTGGAAATGTCCCACCTGTCCAGCAGGTTAGTCAGCCGCCCAGATGATGAAACAGTCACCTGACTCAGAGTGTGATTGCTTCACAGCAGGAAATGAGAGATCAAGCTAAAGGATGTGTGTCTTTAAGATGCTGTGCCGTCTCCTTCTGCAAACCTAACAACCAAAACGAACTCACTCACATTATAATAAGCAATCTGATTCAGTACAAATGCGTATTTTATATTATAAATCTGCTTAATTATATATTATGTGTTTATGTTACTGTATGTAAACATTTATTAGATTATATGATAATAACACCTTTACAATAAGGGTCCGTTTTTTAACATTAGTTGCATGTAATACCAATGTATTTTGTTAGCTTATATGTTAAATACAAACTTTAATACATTATTAATATTATTTAATGGATCTGTGCTAACATGAACTAAAAATAAATATGTATTGCTCATTGTGAAATTAATGTTAGCATTAGTGTTATTGTAATGTGAATTACTAATTATCAGGATGAAACACGTAATTGTTCTGTTAAATCTAATAACAAATATTGTGAAATAGTTTATATACCACCGCATAATTCACGGTTAAAATCTATATTATTTTTTACCAGGACAATTCATTTACTTTCAAGTATGTACCTGTTTTACAGTGAAAATCATATTAACCTGTAACATTAAGCTTATCGGATCAGCCTGTTATCAGCGCTGCTCTCCCCCTGCTGTAGTTTTAAGTGTTTGGTTCATATTGCTTGTCGCCAGAGGGCAAATGACTGTCCTTTTGAGAACCTGTAGAACATCCACTTAAATGGCTCAACAGAGTAAACACTCATCCACCTTGTGCCTCAGGTTAAAACACACTGTCCCACACAGCTCTCCTGTCCACTTCTGGCTGCAGTCCAACCCACAAGTCTTATTTTCTCTCTCTCTCTCTCTCTCTCTCTCTCTCTCTCTCTCTCTCTCTCTCTCTCTCTCTCTCTCTCTCTCTCTCTCTCTCTCTCTCTCTCTCTCTCTCTCTCTCTCTCTCTCTCCTCACTTCTTAATGCAGTGTGTCCTTAGGGATACTAAGAACACAGATAGGTGCGTACAGTAAGAACATAAACACATAAGCGCACACCTTAACAGTCAACAGACATGGTCATGTGAAACCAACGACTTTCTTGATTGTCGCAGTCCTAGTTTGTGACTTTTAGTGAGGTGAGTGAATATTTTGAGTTGCATGTTGGTTATGGTTTTGTTTGAGTTAAACTGAAATAGGCACTAAGTCGAGTTTATAGCTGCTTTGGGCTAATATGAACTGTTTTTGAATTGAGATTAATTTTAACTAGCTAAAGAAGTTTGTAAAGTTCATATTGAGAGTTATTCTATGTGAGGTTTCATTTTTGTATTAAAAATAAATGTTTGGGCATAATTGGTTTGTTGGTGTTGTTTCTTTGAAAAATACATTTGTATGGGTTTGTACAATTTTATATATTATATTTATTTTTTATGCATATAAACCCTTTCAAAATATCAATATATAACATAAAAAATATCAATTATAATAACAAAATATCTTGGCTTTGAGAAATTCACTGTGGTTTGTTATAAAATGACTAAAAACTTTCATAGCAATTGCTAGACCATATTTATTGAGACCCCAATCATATCAGCCATGGTTATTATTAACTAAAACCAAAACCATTAAAACATTTTTTTGAAATAAAATAAAATATTAACTGAAATTAAATTAAAATATATTTCAGCGAGTTGTCAAGGCAACATTTCTCATTTTCGTTTAGTTGAAGTTGAAGTACCTAAAACAAAAAAACTAAAACTTAAAAAAAATTAATTAAAATGAAACGAATTAAACCTATTATCAAAAACCATACTAGAATACCAATACTAAACAACACTGATCTGACCGCCCTGAAAATCTATATAAACTAAGTATATAAAAATACATAGTACGGTATATGTGTCCTTTCGGTACAATCTATGACAAGATCTTCTAACATTATAGCACGTCTCTACCTATGCGTTTCCACTACATGCAGTAAAACTGGTTTTTCCTGTGGCTGATTTCTCTTGACATTGACAAACGTTTGTCTTTACGCTGTTAGTAGAGAGAATTGAATTCATTTGTTATGAAAGTGAACGTCCAGACACAACAAGGTGTCAAAGGAGCTGGATAAGTATAGATCATAGATCATCAGACGGCGGGCAACATCATGTAAAATATCTTTTTGTTATTGCGTCTCGCTACATATTTAACTCCAGTGTTTCACAAGACAGCCTGTCCATGCTCCATTAACAGATAAGACACCGCATTAGACCCGTAATTGCGTCTTGTTTATATCTTGTGTGTTAAACTAGCATTTGTGTGTGTGTCTGCAGCTACATGACTGACGGAGGTCTCAACCTATACTCCCGGAGGGTTAACTGGGTCTCGGATGGCATGAACTCCGTGAGAGGGACCGTTCACCACTTTAATCCCAAGAGTCAAGAAGACACTGATAGGTAGAACTTAACCTTTCACCTTTGCATTGCATGCACTAACTCACCCTGTAGACTCTCATTTTTCATGTATTCTGTTTCTTATGATCAGTAGTCCTGAGTGTAGATCGCCACAGGATGTATGGTAGTCAAACCGGAGCATTTCAGATGGGCAACAGAGTTGCTTTTGTTTCCTCACAATGGAAGAGAGTAGTCATTGTCTTTGTGAGTGCCAAAGGCAACAGCTAATGCATCAGTTTAGACATACATCCACTTCTTTTTGCGTGTGTGCGTGTGCTCTCACATTCGGTGTGCTTTTGTGGCGTCCTGCAAGCCCTGCGGCTGTTTAACATCCCACATCCCTCACCGTTTGCGCTGTGCCTCCTCAAGCGCAACAATACTGTCTGTGAACATGGAAAACCGTCTGTGTTTTTACTAAACACATTCTGAACTGACAGTGGATGGCATATTTATTATTAAATGCGTCTGGTGACTCATTAGTTCAGAATAGAAAGATGTCTGATTTGTCTGCTTTAAAAGGGAAAATGAAAAATGTAGAGATAGTGAAAGTGAAAAGCAGCTGAAAGAAGCCTCAGAAAAGACTTAATTTTCCTTATTTCTTCTCAAGAGTTTTTATTAGTGATCATCATAAGCTTCTCATTGATCATTCATGCATCTCGTGTTGTCCAAGCATGTATATATTCTGTGGAACACAAAAAGAAGATATTTTGAAAAATGCCTTTTTCTTTTCTTGTTGTTTTGGACCCCATAGAGTTCAACAACAGTCAGGTTCCGCAAGTAAAAATGTGATTTTTAATGATAAAAACCTTTAAAGACAGCCCTAATGTAAGCTACAATGTTGTTAAACAATGGTATATCTATTTGTTGAAGCCATCAGTCCACGTTATTTCAACTTATTTTTTAAATAATCATGTTTAACAGCAAAATTCTTGGTGAAAAACTACTTTACCCATGAATATGATTCAGCAGAGAATCTCCTCCAATCAAAGAATCGAGAAAAGTAAATTGCAGCATAACAACACTTTAGTGCCCACCGACTCCCATGAAGCACTGCGAATGATGTAAGAGTCACTCTCTCTACCCTCTCAAACTACTTAAATGATTGTATATGCATATTTTGCAACATTTTAAATCAATAGTTTTATATTTCTCTGTAGGGCTGACTTCTAATAGTCGAGGATTCGATTCGGAGAGGTCTGATTCGACTGTGAACCTCATAGTCGAATAGTAGGGAAGTGTTATGAAACCAATAGGGGTGTGACGGTTATTATATAACCGTGAGACCGACGGTTATAGTTGAACACCGTCATTAGAACTCTATAACCGCCAAAACCCTGCTATTCAAATATTTTTTACAAATATTTTTTATCATAGAGAATGTTTAAATACTAATATCATCTTACGAGGGAAGCGGAGCCGGAGTTAGTGGTGCGTCGGAGGCTGCGCACGTCAAAAAATGACGTGTTGGGTGCGCAAGACCCCATTTCGCTTGGCTGTGTGCACAGCTTTTTTTGTAACAGCGCGCGCGACGGCGCATCCGAGGATGAACGACTTCAAGCCGCTACGTCTCACCGCACCGGCTCGCAGTTTGCGCGTCTAAATTGCAAAGTTCATTGCAAAGTTTTGTTTACTGTGTGTGATTTATTTAAAACAAAGCACGTTCATTGCAACGTTTTTTTTTTTTTTTTTTTGTTAAGGATTCATTTAATGGAAAGCACATTCACTTCTAGTTGTCTTGCTGTTCATTTTAAAGAAACGTAGAGCGAGTTGTCCTATAACAGACGAACAGTTATTCAACCAAACGTCTAGCTGCTATCAAAAAAAAAAGAAAAAAAAAAGGTTCGACTATTAGTCGACTACGGCAAAATCTAACGAATCAGATTCGATTATGAAAATCCTTAGTCGAAAACAGCCCTATTTCTCTGTAACGAAGTTCGTTGTTATGGGAAGGAGGCGGGAACCGGCGAACATTCAACAACTTTTAATAAAATAAATAAACAAATACAAAAACGAAAACGAAAGTAAAGACGGCAACCCCACACGGACGACTGCCGCACACATAATGAAACAGAAACATAAATCCAGGCCTGGCCTTTCTCATCCTTCACTGTCGCCGCTCCTCCGTGAGAGATACGAGATCGGTGCGTCACACAGTCAATCACACCACCGGCCTCGCGGCGTTCTCTCAAGGCCCTCGGCCTCGTCCTGCTCGCCACATTCACCATTTTTAATTTGATTGTCATTTGCAATGCTTCATAGGATTGTAGTTATTTCCCTAATTGAAGTCGTTAAGTACACAGTCTTGTACAGCTAAGTGCAGTCTTGTCATTTTTGTCCAATTTTTTTGCTTTTAATCAAAGTTTGTAAATTTGTGATTTACCTCATAGCTCGTACCTGGTTGGTTGGTTATGGCTTAGAACACTTTAACAAACTTATTAAAACAAACAGACTTTTATTAAAACCATTTGGGGGAAAAATGAATGCAAAAAAAAATACTTCTGTAACCAAGACGGCTTAAAAAGTTGGCAGGCACTGTTGCACTTTATTGACTTTAATATCTTTTTTTGTGTTTTCGTAGAAGAAAGTTTGTATAGACATGAGGGTGAGTAAATGTTGACAGAATTGTCATGTTGGGTGAACTCTGATTGGTCATTGACATTTTGGTTTGACAGTCCAGTCCTGCAGAGTGGACCAAACATTGTCTGCAATGAAAAGTCTGGCTCTTCAAGACTAAACTTCCCCTGTCCTTGATGAAGTCAGTGCAGAACATCTCGCAGATAAAATGGCATTCGATCACAATCTTGGCAGAAAAAGATTCAGAGTCAGATTGATGACCTACAGACCAGCTTTGTAATCCATGGTTTTCCAAATAAGGTAATTTTCTTGAGCCCAGCCAGGTGTGTTCCCAGTATTCTGTGCCCAGTACCTGTCAAGATATCGTCTTAGTGCCCAGATTGATACAGGTGAAAGAGGGATGATCTAAGACCTTGTGAAGTGTAGCTGGAGGGCAGGAATGGTGAGAATCCAATGGGAATTCCTTTTCTGTCCTCTTTCTTACTGGAAATGCTTAATGTCATGTATAATTTTGGAATTCTTTCTCTAACAGCAGCTCGTGTAAAAAACAAAAGCATTAAATCTTTTTGCTCACGTTATTTTGACTTGCTTTGTCATCAAATCTTCCAAAACAAACTCCGGTCAGTGAAGAAAGATGAGGTGGTGTGAACTTCAGTGATGCATCCCTCTGAGAGCTGCTTAAATTCCATCGTGAAGGGAGCCATGTTGGTTTTGGAGTTGGATGATGTGGATGCTGTAGAAAATTATTTAGATTAATTTGTGCTATACTGTAAATTCAGTCAACACTCCTGTGATCAGATCAGAACTCTCGCTTTGATGGTTTGGTGAGCCTTTGCAGCTGATGATTCTTCTTGTTTTGCTTTGACTATATTTGTCTTGCAGATGATGAATTATATTTCATTGATATTTTGCTATGATTAGTATAACCAGGGCATATTCGCATAAGCACTCTAGTGTTGTCATGATACTGGAATTTCTAATTTCGATACAATACCTTGAAACGCATCGATACTCGATACCATGGGAAAAAACTGCCGTATAGATATTTTTTATATCATCTCATATTTTTTGTCTATCCATTGAAAGTCTAGATATTCGATATTTTCAAGCTTCAAAAAGTACATGACACAAGTAACAGTAGTCAATATGAATAAAGTGGGTTTAACCCAAGTCTTCTGAAGAGACATGATATATATATTTATATTTATATTATGCATGTCGCACCTGTGTTTTTTTGTGATAAAGGAAATAGGACCACCCTGTACTTGTACATAGACATACAGACACACCCTCAGAAATGACAGTCGTCTCAAGCATGTGCTGTCTGAATCTCAGTGTAGTTTCCTGCCGGTGGAGGGATGTCCGTTTTTCAGGTCCACGATGACTGCTACATTGTGTGTGACTGTGTAATTTGGCCGTGGCAGTTCAAACACGGCTCTGAAACGTGATCGGGGCGTCTCGCCCTGGAGAAAGGGGCTTGGGGACCACGTCTGGACTGAAAGGAGAGACCTGGTCAAATCCACACCCACACACAGAGGAAATGTGCCATATTGCACACACATTTGTGGGTCAGTGGGTTTCTGTTCTTCGTTTCATTGCATGTGAATGCATTTGGTATGCTACATGGTCTAAACCAGATCAAGCTTTTAGTCAGATCGGTTTTCGCTACTGTAGCTTTAAGACTTCTGTATGTAAATTACCTATTTGTAATGATTTTCTAACCTCCGTCTACCACATTCATCAGGGTTGGCTAAGTTGCTGAATACAGAATAGACTGAATAGACAGAATAGAATACAGGAAAAAAAGGCAAACTGACACTTTTTTGAGTGATGGTGCAAACAGTTTGAACTGATTCACAGAAATGTATTTTGTTACTTGCAAAACGAATCATCGCAAATATATTGTGCATATCCAGTATGTTGCCCATTAAAAATCATTGCAACTATATTGTGAATATTCAATATATCACCCAGAAGGAAGCTTTGCGTGTGAGTATGTCTACATTAGAGCAGTAACATGATATGCCCCCTTTAAGCAATATTTGATTTATGACTTGCGTTGCAACCTTAGAATATTTTTCCAAAGGCATTTACATGGAATTGAATGTGCTTCTTTCTTTTTCCTCTCATTGTTTTTAGGTGTCAAAATAATTTTCTTCCTGATATTTCTCTATAATGCAGTTTTGTATTTTGTTAGTGTCTGTCCGCCAGTGTTGTTTGGCTGTTGATCAATGAATGTTTTTGCCAACTGGATTTGACCGGAAGTCTTTGGGGCTACAAGACCTTCCGCCTACACAAACGCACTCTCCAAAAGAGATGCAAAAAAAAAGACGAGCTGGCAACTTGCCTTCTTGCCAACAAGCTGCAAGGCAAGCCCAGCAGGTACAGTCATGAAGTTCATGGGAGGGCTGAAAAAGATCTCTCTGCGC